TTTTTTTTTTTTCGCAGGAAACAAATCTGAGTGTCGCCGAGCGGGCGGCGTTGCTGAAGCGACCGATTGATTTGGACGAAATCGCAATTGATGCTGCGCCATTCCAACTGGTCCTGGGCACATCACTTTACAGGGTAAACTCGTTGTCATAAATACTCTTAAAGGATTGCGTTTCTTAAAAAAATTTTCTTAGATTTCATAGCCTGAGGAACATAGTATCACTTTGTATGGCTTCGAAAGTCTGTGTTCTCCAAAGCTGGTAGTCGTAAAAATTCCCAAGCTATCAGTTCCCGCCACAAACTTCTCACGAGAAATGACAATTGCTAACGCAGGCTGGAACGCATCAGGCTTGTCGGTGCGATCATGCGTTTTTGCACTTGACTCGCAGGTCGCTAAAAGCAGGAATGATCCCTGCGCTGTAACCTAACACTTAAGCTTATATTGGCCGTATTCTGGTCTCTTCGGCATGCAGCAGAAAGGGCGTCGGTTAGGATGAAAGCGTTGCATTGTAGGACAGCGTGGACCTCCAGGTACGTGATTATCAGTTTTTTGCATAAAGTTCAATCGTTTTTCTGGTAAATGCTCGCTCTTCGAAAAAATGCAAATTTCCAGCTCACTGGAAAGTTGAAAGATGAAAATGGGTAACAAAGTTCACTCACTTCCGAACACACACATACCACAGATGACCTCTCGACAGTGTGCGTTTCCGCTCGCTGTAGCAGCGCTATAGAGCTACTATGGTGCTGCACAGCAAAAACGCAGAAAAAGCGTAGGAAAATCGCTAGAAGAGAACGCAGGCAGAGAAATGAATATGTAACACTAGCACTCCTCTCTGAAATAAAAAGAACAAAAGACCGCCAGAATCATGAGCGGTCTTCCGATCAGATTAACTTTGGTTACTGTAATCACGCGGACAAATGCTGCACTTGTGTGTGCGTCACAACATATGATCAAAGCATCAGAGTGAATCCAGTATTAATTTGGAGCAACTTAAACAAAGTGTGCTGATTTGATTTCGGAGACGCTTACTGTAAAATCTTATTGTAGAAACAATCTTACCCTAAAACACTTTTGAAAGTGCAAAA